CAGTCTCAGCAATGGTCAAATCAGTTCACAAACAAGTAAAAAATCAAACTGAGACCAGGGTCCCCAAAAGGAAGCTGAAACCCACTGCAGAGGATTTACATTGCGGTTCCCCACATGGATCTCACCTGCCCAAGACTCTCCCACAACTGGCCCCCCAACCTCTTCCTGATCATTCCTCCAATGACCACCCTCTCTAACAATGCAGCTCCCCACATCTCACATGGTTTCCTTATTGTGTTTATCTCCCTAACCAGAATGTCTGCTTGGGAGGGCAGGGGGTTTTCTGTCTTGCTCACTGCTGTGTCCCCAAGTGCCTAGAACAGTGTCTGGCACACAGTGGTTCCTCAACATGTATGAATTCATGAAGAGATGGCCTTGTCCAGTCCCTGACCAGTCCTGGACTTGATGCCTCCCTCTCTATCCTCCTCCCATGTCACCTCTTCTTGGTGACATCATGAGTTCTATGGCAAAGCCCTCAAGTCGCTGCCCTCAGGGGTCATTCCCCTGTGGGGAGCTTGCCACCCATCACCCCACCCCTGTACACCCCCAGTCACACCCTTGATAGTTAATTCCTAGTCACTGGGATATCTCTGATCATCCACACCCCTCTCCTGACTCAGTTATGCTAAACCTCTTTGGGCCACCTCATCCCCTCACCTCTGCCCCCTGTTAGCTGTCAGTGTCCCTCTTGGCCAGCACCTTTATCTGGCCCAGGCTCCACAGGGTGCCTTTGCAAACACTCCCTCTCTTTTTTTTTTTTTTGTCCTTTTTGAGACCGGCCGCACCGCGCTCAGCCAGTGAGCATTGTGAGCGCACCGGTCATCCCTATATAGGATCCAAACCCATGGCGGGAGCGCTGCTGCGCTCCCAGCACCGCACTCTCCCGAGTGCGCTACGGGCTCAGCCCCAACACTCCCTCTTCTTTATGTGATTGGCAAAATCCCCACCCTGGTTATTCCCAGCTCTCTGGTATCACCGCACTCGAGGGCCTGAACACACCTGACGAGTAATTCCCACCCTGCTCCCCACTCCTGATCACAAATCTCCAATGGGCACATGATGAGCCAGACAATCCTGGGTCCCCCTTCCGCCCTCAGAAGTGTTAAGGTGGCATCTTCTCCCTCTCAAAGCTCTTCTGTCCCATTCACTGCTGAGGCCCTCATCTGTGCCTTGGTGAGAAAGAGAAGTCACTGGCTGCCAACACCATCTTCCCCCCAGGAGATGCCCTAATTTCCTGCTCTTCCCTCTGAGTCCTGACCTAGCAGAGCCCAAGTTCTGGGTCTGAATGCTGGATGAAACTCATCCCGCCTGAGGATCATCCCCTGCCAGCACCCTCACTCCCTTTGCAGCATCACTTAGTCAGCAAATGCTCTAACATCTCCTCTCTCTAAAAAGCCTTCCTTACCCACTGTGTCCCTCCAGCAATGGCCCCATTTCTCAACTCCCATGGTGACAATCACTGTCTCCACCTCCTCATCTCACTTGCTCCAGGAAGGCTTTGCCCCCACTCCCAGGGTGGTCAATCCAAAACCGATGTGCCTGCTGGAGCCAACAACCTCTGCTTATCCAGGATCCTTTACCCTCCTGAAGCTCAGAATGCCACACTCTCTGGCTTTCTTCCCACCTCACTGGTGGCTCCTTTTTGGCCTCCTTTGCTGGTTCCTCCTTCTCTGCTGGACCCTAAATGCTGATGTGTCCCCGGCTTGTTTCTATGCCTCTCTGTTCTCCCGCACTCTCCTCCACTCACACAGATTTAAATACCACCCTTAGGACAATAACTTCCAAATCAATGCCAATCTCCTCCAAGCTCCAGGCTCACATAACTAAGCTACTGTCGTGCAATCTGCTTGGATGTCTCCATTTGTTCTGCCCCCACTCGAGTCCAGCTGCTGTCATTTCTGGCCTGGTTACAGCCCCAGCTTCTTTGTTTTGTTAGTCTCCCTGCTTCCACCCTTGACTTACAATCCAATACCTGCATAGTGGCCAGAGGAAACTTTTCAAAACAAATTTAGTCATGACATTGCCCTGCTTAAAATGAACAGCTTCCCATTAAACCTGGAATCAAAGCCAAACTGCTTGCTGTGGCCTGCAAGGTCTATGTGGCTCTGGTTGGACTGTCCAACTTCTCCCTCCCCGACCCTTGCTCACTAAGCTCCAGTCACTCCAGCTTCCTTCCTGCTCCTTCAACATTCCTCACTTGGTTCTCCCCTGGTAGGGCGAAAGAGAAGTGAAATTGGGGAGATGCAGGATGTAGCATGTGCAGGACATGGTGGCTGCTGGTGTGTGTGTGCAGGAAAGACCTGAGTGACTTTTGCCAAAAGTGGGGAGCTGAGCCCTGCTCCACTCACCATAGCAAAGAGGTTGTCATAGCCTTTGACCTTGGTAGGCACCTTGGAGAACTTCTGGTCAAAAGCATCTGAAATGTTGTGGGCTGGGTCTGTGGAGATGATCAGAACACTCTCACGCCCCTTGGACAGCTGGACTGCCAGGCTGCAGCTGGGCAAAGAAAGATTGAAAGGTGGGGAGTGAAGGGTCAGGCTCTGCTCCCCAGGTCTGCAACGGGAGATGTGGAGTCCCAGGAGAAGGTCACAGGGATGAGCAGAGGCCTTAAGACGACAGTATGGGTCACTGTGTGATCAAGCCTCAATCCCTGCAAGGGAACCCTCTCAGACCTCACCTGCTGACCTCTCCATCTGGACTAGAGTCGTAAGGTTCAGCTAAATGAGTTGATCTGGCCTGCTGCCTGCTTTTTTTTTCCTGGGCAGAGTGGCATGGTCCAGCTGTCCAGACTACATAGCTTGACTCTGTGCCCCCTCCCTCAACTCTAAGCCAAAGGGTCCCCTGCAATCCCTGCTAAGCTCAGAATGCTTCAGTGCACTAATCCACGATAATTTGCCCCAGGGACGCCTCCCCTTCCTCCCAGCTGACTGGGACACTTTGATCAAGTGCCCTCTCCCTGGCTTTTCACCCCCATCCTCGTACTGGGCATAAAATGGCAAGGTTCACCAGACTAGTATAGCTTGCTCTGGTGCCCCTCCCCCCACTCTGAGCTCACTCGGGTACAGTCCGGCTGATTGGGACATCTAAATGCTCCCCCGCCCCCCCGCCCCCCCCGTGCGCTAGGTTCACTGTGGTTCAGCACTTGAGCCCCAAAGGGGATGGTCCAAATCAGAGGGTGCCAGGCCTGCATCGAGGAGGTATCTTCCATTTGCTCCAAGTAATTTCGGGAGAGTACAACACGGAAGACCTTGGCCCAGCCCCCTCGCCCGGCTCGGGGTGGAACAGCCAGTCCCTGGCCTCCCCTTTCCCAGTGGTACATCCCACCCGCCTTCTCGGCCCCGGTCTCAGCCTCCTTACCTGCAGGTAGTCTTGCCCACGCCACCCTTGCCCCCGACGAAGATCCACTTAAGGCTGCGCTGCTCGATGATGTTGCTAAGCGTGGGCTCCAGCGGCTCCACATCAGGGGCATCCTCGAACTCCTCCGCCTCAACCCCCCACCCGGCCACCCCTGCCGCCATCTTGGAACCGGCTCACGTGACCAAGCGGAGCGCACCATACAAAGGAAACGCAGGGGAATTTCTCTATCACATCCCCACGAAGGTTAGGAGCCTGAATTAATTTCCTCATGGCCTGCATCTTAAAAGCTAATAGAAGCTACATTATTAACGTTCTCAGCCTCCAGAGCTCACTTTATCTACTTCTTGTCGATATTTTTCCAAAGGCTCCCCCTGCCTGATGAACATATTGGTATGGTCCAGTCTACTCCCCTTCACTGATTGGGCCCTAAGTCCTGAAGCACTCCTTTCATTGGCTACATCTTTTCTTACTTCCACCAGTCACTCTCACGCACCGGTAGCGCCAACCTCTCCTTAGCAACCGTCCAAACACCCATTCCATGCCCTTGGGGTGAAGTTAGATCCGAGATCCGCCCTGGACTGACCCCATAGGCTCAACTTCGTGTCGATCATTTCCTTCTCCAAGTTGGGTCCCAACTTTGCTTCAGGTCCGTCCCTTCTGTTATTTAATTGGCTGTGAACTACCTGGCTCTTGCCGGAAACCTATCAGAGACGAATTGGATAGTTGGCTGGAGACACGTCCCCGGGCTCCGGGTGGGTATCAGAGAAAACGATTCCAGTTGTGGGCAGGATCCGCAGGCCCTTGTCCGGCTGCGCAGGGGCCATACCTGCAACCGCGCTCCTTGTCGTAGAAGGGACCCTAATTTCTGAAAATCTACACGCACTTGGTTGCCTGTTCGAAGGTAGACTCCAGAGAATTTCCTGTTCGAACCTCTGCCCCGGGGTAGGAATACAAGCTAGGTCCCAGGCCGTGGGCAGGGACTCCAATCCTGAATACTCTTATTAAACTTAGAGGTGGACTCCAGCCTAGAAATACCCAAGGCTTCATTTGAGGACTCCAGCCTGTAAAATAACCTTATTGTCAGACGGGGACCCCAGCTCCACGGAGCCAGCCGTATCCCTATTCCCAAATGTGAGCATCCCAGAGGAAGGTACCCAACCCACAGATACCTCCATTTCTAGTCGAGGGGTCCAGGCTAGATATGTTCCATAGACCTAATTAGGGACTCAAGTTCTGAGGTGTCAGATGATCACACTGCCCCAAACGGGGTCCTTCACCTCACCGAGAGTATCCCTGGGGTCAGACGAGGATTCTAGGCCTGCAAAGCCAATGCGCCCCCAGCTCCAAACGGAAACCCCACTCCGAAGAGCTAGCTAGAGCCCCAGTCCCAGACGATGGTCCCATTCCTGAGGAGCCCCTGTCTGCGTAACGCCAGCCCGAGTCTCGCTGGATTGTAAGAACCCGCGGGGCGGGGCGCCTCCTCATTACCCCGCCCCGCCAGGTCATGCCCTCGTTCGCCCCGCCCCTGGCCCCCGCTCCCCACTGCGGACGTTCGCGGGCCAGACCGCTCTTCCCGGCATGCATTGCTCCGGACCAGGCAAGTCGGGCGCCAAGCGCGGGGCCGGAGCGGCCTTCCCGGAGTCCTTTGCGCGGCACCTGGTGACAAAATGGCTGCCCGAGGGAGACGGGCGGAGCCTCCGGGCCGGGAGGCGCCGGGCCCCGGGGGCAGCGGCGGTGGCGGGAGCCGATGGGCTGAGTCAGGGCCAGGGACGTCGCCCGAGAGCGGGGACGAGGAGGTGTCGGGCGCGGGTTCGAGCCCGGTGTCGGGCGGCGTGAACTTGTTCGCCAACGACGGCAGCTTCCTGGAGCTGTTCAAGCGGAAGATGGAGGAGGAGCAGCGGCAGCGGCAGGAGGC